TACGAAGACTTTGAATACAATGTGTAAGAATATGCAAGTGATAATTCATTTAAGAGCTCTAAAGGGAGGTTTATAACTGAATCAAATTTAAAAATCTGATTTATAATATATATTTGGCCAAGTTGTTTTACGGTATGAAGATTTTGAATAAACTATAGACCAATATACCATCAGATGCTTCAGCAAAATATCGGATTGTCTTCAGAAATATTCAGTCAATTTTATTTTAAGTATGAAGACTTTGAACAGACAGTGGAATGATATACCACGGAATAATTCATTTCGGAGCTGTCTGAGGGTTGATTCATACTTGAAGAAAATTTTTCGCTAGTAGATTTACTTAAACGGCCTCTGAAAAATGACTGCTTACTTATCGCCGATTGAAACAAATCATTGTATCTGATATAAATATGAGTTCAGAACTTTTTCCGTCGTTTCTTCAACCGTTTTCTTTTTTCCAGGTCACCTGATCAAAGAGCACTCAGCACAGCGCGTGAAGGGCATTGGCGCCGTCGTCGAAGAAAGTGGCGACGACGGCGGCAAAAGCGCCAGCGACTTGCTGCAGCTGGTCCGCCACCTCTCCCACACCAACACCTCCGCCACCGCTTCGAAGGAACCCGACGATGTGAACATGGGGGCCAACGTAAGCCGGCACTCGGTGAAGGGGTTGTCAGGCCGCCGCTCCCAGTCGAGCGGCAGCATCTGCAACGGGAGCGGCGGGAGCGGCAGCGGCAAGAGTTCGAGACATCCTGACGGAAAGATTTGCGGCAGTTTGCCGAACTACTTGGACGAACGCGAGAGGAACGGCGCTTGTAACAACAACCGTCACGAGAAGTCTTTGGATGAGGTGAGAAAGAAAATTTGATTGATTTTTTTGTGGTGGTTGTATATGTTTTAAATGGAATACACTACAATTGTTCAGCTATTTTAGATGACCTTTGCCTTTCTGTTAACTCAAGATCCTTAAGAAGCAATCGCATTTTTTCATTTGGGTTGCGATTCCACAAGACTAACTATGGCTCGATGGCAATAAGTTGTAGGCTTCAAAAAAATTTTAATACATACTTTTCAGAACTTGATCTTTTTCATTTGTCATATTTGGAATTCAAAAAAATGGCAATTAGACTACTTCATCAAGAGATTGTTCATTAAACTTCTGAATAGTCGTTTATTATTTCTTTTAATAATCATAACTTATTCTAGTATTCGTACATGTCTTTTTTTTTTGAATTTGAACTTAATGCACTATTTGACAAATGAAAATGCATACCTTTATTTAATATGAAGTAATAACTTGACTCTAGGGTTTGTTTGCACATTGATGTAACATTTGGGACTTTGTTACAATTCTGTAATGTACTTGACATAGTTACGTTTTAGTTTTATAATTTAATTATTCATTAGTGTTGAATGTCTTTAAGCTTATTTTTGTCTTTTTAAAATTTTTTTTTATGTTCCATTTGGTATTTTATTAATAGTTTGTGGTGTATAGGACTGATAAAAAATAAATAGGTTTATTTATTTTTAAGCAATTATAATAGTTATATTAAGGATTTTACTTGTTGGGTTCATAACTGAACTCTAATGCTTGACTGGTTTCAACAATTGAAACTTTCTTGATGTACCATTTGGGATTTTATAATAATTATGTAGTGTACTTGACCGATAAATAAAATAAATAAACATCTAATCTATAATATCTAATGGATACCATTTATATATACCTAATCGACGTTTGAAGTTCACAGCTATCGATTACACAAGAGAGCAAAATCCAATTGTTTGTTTGTTGCGTAGAATTTCATGGCTGTTGTGTACTGATTACTGGTGTGTGTGGATTACTGGTGTACTGGTTCACATACATGAGAACAATACTCCAAAGAAGGTCTAATCTGAGCTTCATAAAGCAACAAAAGTTGCAGAGGTGTGTACAGTTTTCTGGTTCAGAACAGTGTTCCAAGCTTTTGAGAAGTAGCCTTTGCAATTCCAGCGACATGATTGTGCCAAGACATATTAGTGTAACCACCAACAAACTTATCGAAGCAGAAAGCGAATTATCTGACCTGACATTATTATATACGATTCGAAGACATTTATCTTCTTTGAAAAACCAATGCCTGGGTTTTGTGGCATTAAATTGAACCTGGTTACTTTTACTCCAATTCGAAATCACTTTTAGATCCTCATTAAGATATGCAACCTCCTGCTGACGGTGAAGATGTGCCTCCTTAGCCGATGTCCTGGAATCCAAATGAAATGACGAGACAAGTGTGCTGTCGTCAGCAAAACATTATATCAAATTCTTGTATTTTTCTAATAAGTTGTTGATATACAATAAAAAAGCGACAATATGGATCCCTGAGGAACACCAGCATTGATGCTAAAATTATTCAAGAGATATCCAGGGAACGTTCTTTCAGGAAGCTGGAGACCCTTACACAAAAAAGGTCCGACAAGCTATAGCATAGAAGTTTGGCCAGCAAATACTCATGCCACACACGGTCAAAGGCCTTAGAAATATCAAGCGCAACAGCTCTTGACTCGCCATGTTTCTCGATTTCGCCTGTTGATCTTTGTTTCCGAAAGCCATATTGATTATCGCTCAAGATTTTAATGTTTTCCAAATATTTGAGGAAACGGTGGTTTACGGCTTTCTTCTTGATTTTTGATATCACTGATATCAAACTAGTATATAGTTATTTGGTTTCAGATTTCAAATCTACCCTCCTCGTTTCTCCAACAGCTCTATTTCCAGCTATTGTCCATATTTGTATACTAGTTACACAACTTCCATAAAACCGAGTGATTCTTTTAAAAATCAATTTTTCTTTACAATACCCACATCAATAAATATTTGTAAAAACGATCCTAACGCCAAACCAGTGGGAAGAGAATCGCACAGTCGCTTGGGCGCCACGGCATGCGTCGCCACGTCAGCATTCGGTTTTACGTGCGGCTATAGATGTTTCACATCAAAAAGCATCGCCATGCTTTCTTCGAGAAATCATCTTGCGATGATTCGTTTATAGAATATTCTACCTGTGCAATTGAAATTTGCTGAGTCTACAAGATTATTAAAAAAAAAAACTCAAAAATGTTCTACTAGCGAACTGCTTATATAATTTCCAAGAATTCTCTGCCTATTGCCGAACAAATTGGGCATCTTGTCATTCGTTTTTGTCACTGGTTTATATGTGATATATTTCAATTCGTATTGAGATTGTTCGCCCCATGGTTTCGCCCCTTTCGATTGATTTTTGATTCCTAACTTTTCACTTTTATATTTATTGTACTGTTTGTTTCAAGTCTGGACCGGTTGACGAAACATATCAATTTCGGTGTATGTGGCCTGTTTGTTAATAAATTTATTGGTTGATTGATACTTATGACGCACTGCTTACAACCTTTGGTGTAGTAATGAATATCACTGGAGTTTTATCCTAACACCAAACCGTTATTTTAACACCTCGACACGTGTTTCGATCACCGAGTGATCATCTTTAAGAGAAACATTGAACTTTTGATCTTCATCTTGAAGATGATAACTTGGTGATCGAAACACGTGTCGAGGTGTTAAAATAACGGTTTGGTGTTTTGTTCCATTTTGTTCCACTTTACTCGACACTCGTGTGCCTGGAGACGAGATCCAGAGAGAAAAAAATGCCTGAGGGGGACGCAAGATGTCGCAGGTATTCGTTGTCGTCGTGAAATTTTGACATCCACGTGAACGGCCTGGCGAACACGAAATATTGGATTCGAAGACGCTTCGCTATAAATCCGGCAGTTGGCACGTTCGGAATAGGAAATAACGGATTTTATATTTGCCATCCACCTCTGGCAGGTGTTCCGGCGAATAGGAAAGATCGATTCGATTTTCTCCTGGATACAAATCGTGTACTAGATGCAGAGTACGCTGTTTGATACTCTATGAATAATTCAGCATTGACGAAATTGTTGGATGTTATCATGTTGATGTTGATATAAATGAAACTTCTCTCGCAACTGTTCAAGAAGCAAACAGTATGGGAGTTCTCTCCCAGATGTCGGTCTCAAATTTGATAAGCATGTAATTATACTTTTATAACGTGCATATTTCACGTTGAGTATTATATAGATACGACGGTAGCCTGGTGGGTTGACGTGGGTGGTTTGCTCGACACACTCAATCGACCGCTGTGTGAATCGGTGCTTCAAGCCCGAGGCCGAACAATCGATTTTCATTTGCTATCGTCCAACCCGTGCTAGGAATCACACGTCAAAAGGTAAGACCTCGTTAGTCCTTAGCTCGCACAAGTTTCTCAACTTCTGAGAGTTGTCATTCATAAGGAGGTGACAGCTGATTAACGGAAAAACAGATTTCAAACAGATTTTTTGTTCTTTGGTCTATGTTTAAGAGTGAGAGGGCCGGTTTTGCCGGGTATGCCTACAGACACGTACGCTTTATCAAAATGTGTAATGACAGATATGTTTAAAGGATTTCTGCTCATTTCATTTCATTCAGAAAAGGTTTGGACGAGGAGATTTTTTGAGAAAATGAAACACTTTTCCAAATATTATTGTGTGAAATGTCTTGTTTGAAGGAGTTTCATTGAACTTCTGCACAGGATAATGCTTACTGAAAATTCAAATATATCTTCGTCCGAACCTTACAATGCCTATGCCTATATCATATTTTGCAAAATTAAATTTATAGAAACGCCTCTAGTTAGGCAAATTATTCACATCAGATCATCGCTAGTTGACTGAATTCATGCGCGATAGAATAATCAGAGATATTTCTTCAATAAAATGTAAATGGGATATTCCGAAATTATTGGAAATAAATATTTAGTACTGGATATTCCATAGGAAGTGGTCAAAATTATAATTACGGGTTAGAGCGCATAA